CAGCTTTCCAAAAACACTGCTGGCAATGTAAAACCTGATTGATGAGGATCAGTAAGTTTGCCCTGATACGTTTCCCAGACACAGTCTGTGCAATCCACTGTTTTCCAGAACATCTTGGGTGTAACCAATCAAGATGTCTCTGCTGGGAAAAGGACAGTAAAGCATAAGCAAGCCTAATGTAATAAGATGCAAAAACAAGTCAGTTAGTAGATTTCTAAACAATACAAGGAAATAATAAAAAAAAACTGGCTTATTTCAGCTCAGTTTCAGCCTCAGTTTTCTGTTTCAGATTACTTCTATCTTTTTTTTCCATGAATAGGAAGGATCATTATAACATCTCTGACAGATTCTAACTATTGAGAGCTAATGGTCAACTCATCTGCCACCTTAAATTAAAGATATATCCTTCTTTTGAACAGATTTTATTTTCTCCTCCCCTGAGCCCCTTTTATAGCCTGAAGTTGTTAAAATGTAAATTATAGCTCAGCACCAGCCCCACCTGTACCCCCTTTTATGTTCACACACCCTTTTAATCAATGTAACTGAAATTTATCATAACATTGCACATTATACAGTGCTCATTAATATAACTAATACTACTAAAGCCTTCCATTATGTTGATTATTCCAACCTTTTCAAATGTCATGATACTACCAATCTTACATTAATATTCCATCTTTCAAAAAGCTAGAGATACTGGCATCACGGGAGGGAAAGTGAGATAGGATTCCTGCTTCTCCCCTGCACTATGAAACTGCTCGGCAGTCAATCAGCTGGGCTAGGACCAGTCTTGGGAGACCTCCCCAGGCAGTGAACACTGCAGGAAAAATAGGATATTGGTATTCTCTGCTTTTTAAATCACCTTTTAGTGGCATAACCTGGTGAGAAAAGGGAGAGTAAGGCTGTCCCCAGCCACCACATTTTAGCATCCCACTGCTAAAGTAAAGGCTCGCACCGACAGCTCTGCTGGGTTAGGAAGAAGCTCTGGCACAGTTGAGGAAGGCTGACTAAAACAGGGAGYCACCAGGAAAGAACCAAGAATCATTATTAAAGACACAGCATTATGCTAATACCAYGGTATCGCTGCTATTTAGAATGACAATGCTGTCACAGAATCAGCATATTGCTCATCAGAAGGATGAAATGGGTTTTAAATAGGTTTTAGGGAATCTGCATTTCCCTTTTGTAATGCTGATTTTCACAGGAGTACCTCTTTTGTCTCCAGACTGAATTTGATGGCTCTCTGTACTTTGTACCCTGACCTACCATGACCTGCCAGCCTGGCAGACTTTATGGCACACATCCTGACTGCATTACAACTCAGAGGTTTTGTAACAAAACATATTATATACCAAGATTTTCTGACAATCCTACATTTTGATTAATGCTGCAGGATGACTGAGAAGGTGGGTTACAGAACACACCAAAAGATGACAGAAACTAAAGCCAGCGCTGTTATTTCATCCCATGTTAGATTTCAGGTACAGGACTGCCCCGCACTTTTAGCTATTGTTTTCATTGCAGCAAGCTTATCAATCAGTTCACGTTCAAAAAATCGCATCTTTCAAAGCAGCCACTGTTTGTCCCTGCTGTCAGTGTCAAAACTGCAGCACTGCCTCAGGAGGGATGCACATCCCTTATTCTCAAGAGGCCCAGATACTAAGATCCATTTGTCTACCTTGTATTTGAAGCAGAAACWCGGGTTGACTCACACAGTTTATTTCCTGAGTGCTCATTTCATTTCCTAATTATTCATAAATGGGTTTCAGCTGATCAGGCTCAGCAAATACCAATGTRTGACTTGTGAGTATCAGAGAAGATCTGAGTCCATGTGCAGGTGCAAGCATGCCCAGCTCACAGTGGAAGGAATGGGATGCAAAAGCCTGCTTGGCTACAACTWCCATTTTGCAGTGCATTTCTATGACTGATGTCAGCATGACAAATTTCCTGCTGTCCATTTTGATTAGGGATTTAACATCTCACAGAAGGAAAATAGATAGGATTTAAAGGAAAATTAACTGGAGGTATTCCCTTGCCAGCAGTAAAGACGTACAAGATTGGTGTCAAATAACAGTRCACTCACTTCTTCATCAGCTTCTGCTTCTGTACATGTCAACACTGAAAATGACAGTTGCAGATTTCCCAAAATGCTCACTGCTGGTAGTGTGGGTTAATGTGGCCCATCAACAGAAGTAAAAACATCTTGCTTTAAAATAGAGAAATTACAGGAAGCTGCAAGTCGACAGAGAAGGAGGATTCCCCTTCAATCTCCCTGGGTCAAATAAAATACTAAAGAACAGTTACRAATAATAATGAAAATATATAGTTAATAATTTTAAGTGTCTCTGAAAAGATCAAAGATACATCCTTTCACTAATGTTTAACTTAATGAGAAATCAAATGAGCATGTATTTCATTTTGAAATTTGAGACTAAGAAGGTCACTGGTAAAAATTTCTCAAAGCCAATTCTAAAATTAATTTTAGAGCAAACTAATGATCACTCCTATTAGCATGCAATATCAGCAATGTATTTTGTGYCCAGCAGCAGCTGCTACAGTAATTTTGGAGAAGACCTCTTACATTTTTCATGAATAACAAAGACAATGAATTCGTAAGAGTGAAATTCTGATCAGACTCAGTTGTGAAATGTCTCTGCACCAGCCACGTTATAAATTCATCTTTATATATATTCATGGTATCCAATTTATCTCACCTTCCAAATCAGAACTACAACTCACCACTTCAAATTGTGCTGTCCAGTCTACACAGCTCATGATACTCCAGAAAAAAAGGAGCCCTTGGACTTCACTTGGCCAATTACTTCTATCCCATTGCACTGCTGCACCCTCCTTYCACTTTCTTGCATTTCATTCACAGAATTGCAAAATGCCTTTCTTAGTTGTCTTTTACACCTATCAAATGCTGCTGATTGCTGAGCACATTGCAAAATATGATTAAATGGACGAGAGAAATGGGTGGCTGCAAAATCCCAGTTTCCCCAGCTACACCTGCTTCAGGCTGTGTCTGAGCCTTACAGATTGAAAAYTCATCACTGTTTTGGGGCACTAGCTGTACTTCCAGACCACATCTTCCAGTACAGATTTCCCTGAAAGGAATCTAMGTTACATGCTCCATAAAACAAGACCAAACACAGTAAAGGGATGTGATGTTTACKACAAAAGAATATGTCTAATTTAAACAGAAATTCTGATGTAGGTATAGTCACTAAAGTGTCATGGTTGATGTTCCCCTTAGCAACAACAGCAGGAAAGGAGCTTTCATATCTGTAAGTTTAAACTTTGTTTTGTTTGGATTTGGGGCTTTTTTGGGTTTTTTTGGGGGGTTTTTTTTTCTAATTTTTTTTTTTTATGATAACCGTTCTTAATATAGCATTTTTCACCCCAAAGCGAACAGGCTCTGGGAATATTGGCTAAAAACACAGAAGAGAGGCACTTGCAGGTCTCCARGCTGCCTAAAGACAACAACTGCACTTTTTCATAGTCCTGCAAAAAGACCACAGGCAAATTCAGGATTATGTTATCTGCAGGCTATTTGAGCTCCTTGCTTCTGGGGACCTATTTTATCTCTTTCAAGTGCAGGACACCATTCCTGGTTTTCCTCCACTTTACTTYCCTCTCCCTGAGGTATTTTCCCTTTATGTTTATGTTATCCAGTCTCAGCACTTGCTGAACTTTATATTCTGATTCAGGTGCAGCTCAGGTCCAAGTATAGGCAACAGTCTTTAAAAAAAAAAGACTACTGATGTTCCACCACTGCAATAATCTACCCACATTTCTTCAGTGTGAATGTCAAAAATAGCCTCAAGTATCTGACTTTTACAGAATGTTAAAAGTCATACCTGGTGTTCTGCTGGGTTTTTAAAGGAAGTTGAAACTATGGGAACATGGAGGAAGATAATTCCTGCACACACAAGGAGAGTGGTATGAAAGGTGAATTTTATTTATAATTTAGTTATAAATGGTGCCCTGAGAACTCACAGGAAAAGAAGAACTTTTTAATTCATTTTCTCTAAAGATCTGAATGTAGTGATAAGCAATGATAGTTAGATGCTATCATAGTTAAATGCACAATAAAATGATGATTCAGGAGTGAATAAAAGGCATACCTAATCAAACTGACAAAAATTAGGAGAAATTTGTCAACTTCTTTGCATGATATGTGTCTGTCTCAGAGTCTCCCCTTTTTATGCTRGCATGATTACAAAGAACTGCCATAAAATCTGTTTGCAAAGGGGTTGCTAATAACATTGCATCAGTTTTTTCCTTATATCCCTCCCTGCCTCACAACCATATGGGGATTTCTGGCAACTTCTAAAACTTGGAAGATTCTTACTGCMAGGTTTGGTTCACTTCTGAGGAGCAAATTTCAAACTCCTCAGGTTACTGTCAGCTTACCAGGGATTCACACAATGCCAGGAAACTAAAAACAGAACCCCAAAGTGTGGTTACTTATTTCAAAACAACAYAAACATCATTTCACAAACAGAAAGATGACCTATCTGGTGTGACTTTGGGTCAACAGCACCTTCTTACTCTAGGCACGCCAGTTTCACTAACAGCAGCATCCCTTACTCCAGATTTTGGCTAAAAATGAAAACCTAATTTTGAAGTAACTTGGGTTGAATTGTTCAGTTCATGCAGGTATGTAAGAGGCCACACATAATCACAGAATCACAGTCCTTACTTGTTTTGAAATGTATTAGTTTATATTAATTTCAAAATAAATTCATTAGATTATTCAAAGTTTATTCTCCGCACCTTATTCATTTTGGTAACAAGCTGTAACATGTTATATACAATACATGCCTGCATATTCTATTGAGACACTCACTTTGTGATGAGTATTTTCAAATGTGATGAGTAAAAATACTCACTTTGTGATGAGTATTTTACCTAAATACAGGTGAGCAGAGCAAGAAAGCCTTTCCTCTGAAACTTTTACTGCACAAAGGAAAATATCGTACAACATTGATAAGTACCTTCTTTATCRTCGTGACGTATGATTGCATCCTGTATCATATCAGCCAGATTAAAACGAACTCGTTGACTCTTTCCATGTTTCAGCTTTTTCCCGTAGCCCTCCCGTTTCTGGAAAGCTTTTTCTCGTTCGTAATAGGCCTTTATTTGGTCACAGCGCATGCGCTTGACCAGCCGCTGCCGCTGGCCGAGGGGGAGGGACTCCAGCAAGCACTGCTCAATTTCCATCTCATGGGTCCGAAAAACATTACATAGCTGGAAACAGCCTGCAAGAAACCAAACACAAGCAAATTCAGATCTTGCTTTCAAATGTGCCATGGAACATCCACCAATTATTTAGTTGTTCTAAGCATGTGGAAATCCATCATGTGAGCTCCTCCTACTCGACCAAGGCTGACTACAAAGAGTTTATGTCATAATAATTCACGTGTTGAAAGCCACATGTAACTCATTCCATTAAATCACTAATGCACTTTTCAAAAGCTGGCCCAGTTAATGAGAAAAAGTGTGAACAGAAAGAAGTCTRAARGTTCAAACATGAGATGAGCAAAATACCTAAATATTTCAATACAATTCAAGTGGCTTGCATTTGTTTACAAACAAGAAACTACTATCAAGAGTAATGCGAATTTGATGCCCTTGATTCTTTTTTATTCATTTTCATCTAGTTTTAGGTTGGCAAGTTCCAATATTCAGTGAAAAGAAAAATCTTCATAYCCTAATTTTAGTGAGTTCATTAACATGCAGTGGGCACTCAGGCAACCACCTCTTAAAAACACCAGTCATTTCAGATTGATAACCATGTGTATAACTTTTTTCTAATTTTGAATTTTTTTCCATTGTATAGAGCCATCAATTTTGATCCTTCAAATGAAACTGTCAGATACTGAAATTTTCATTGGAAACCAATCACAAATGTATCTTCAAACCAGTTATTCCTATCATTCACAGCATTACCTTTAATTCAGACTCTTCTTTGTTTTTACCATTAAGTATGGTATTTTTACTGATATTGCAGTAACACTAATGTTCTTCTCAAGTATGTTCTGTTTTCCACTGAGAGCACAGACCGAGACTGAGTGCTGCTAATCCATCAACAATGTGCCCACTACTCTGCACTAAGGCCTTCTGATGTGCTGGCAACAGTCCTCTCTATCATTTCTGATTTTCATGTCCTTTATGTGTATGAATTTCATATTCATTTTGTTCTTTATGTGTATGAATTTCCTTTATATGGGTGCTGGGTGCTCAAATTTGTAATGTCTGAGGACTGACAGCAGCAGACGTGAGGGAGGTTTTCTCTCCACTGTTTGAAGGAAATGCAGTCTCAATTCACCTTGGGTAGATAAGAAATACCAAAATTAAGCAATACTGTGCAACTTTAATTAGACCCACTTTTGTCTAYCAGTTTTGTGTAGTTACATCMTCAAAGGATCYGTGTCTCATTCAGGGCACACCTGASTAGTGCTGACTAAATRGCCACTTTGTTTTCTCCTTGCTGTTTGACACGTGCTTAATCTAGTGAATACCATTTAAACCCTGCTCTGAAGCCATAATTAACAATCTCCTGACAGGCTTTTGTAAAGTTCATGTCATCACAGCACACAAAAGCATCACAAATATTTATTTATTTTCATTTTAAAAAGGGACTATTTATTTTCATTTTAAAAAGGGACAACAGAGCATTCATATCTGCATTCTCTGCAAAGGAACTGAAAAACAATTATTTTCTTTTTAAAACACTAATTTTGGTTGTCCTATTCAAAAATTTAATGTTCTTAATATGTTTTGGTTTGCTTTAAAGGCATAGTACTCTATGAATTTTCACGTATCATAATTCCGTAATAAAATATTATCAAAATGATAGTCTTAGGTCTGCATGCCAATCACTCTAAATTCTATGTATAAAATTACACATTTTTTCTATTGTTTGTTGCATTATTTTAGAAATTAAAGATAATACAATGTATTACATATTATATATTCTATTAGATATTRTAAGTATTCACTATGAATTACAACSCAMGGACTCAAACCAGACTTCCCAAAACTGAGGAGCACACATYTATCCAAAAAGTGCCCAGAATGTTGTGTTGGAAAACTCTGACAGAAGCAGACACAGAACACAATTCTGCGGGTCAAGTTCAGTCAAGCACTTTTAACACAAGCTACTCTCTTCCTTTAATTTCTGTTCCTTTCATAGCATGTCCTTCTAGTTAGAAGAGAATAAGYTGTCAAACTAAAAACTGGAAACAAGTATTGGCTTGCATTAAGCCAAAACAAAAACCCTTTCTTCCTGCATGTCAAAGCCAACAACTCTTGCTGTATAAAACAAGTTTTCCACTTGACCTTAAATTTCATTTCATAGCAAAAACCRTATGTTCTATTTCTTTCATTTCCTTGTTGGAAGACACAAGGAAATAAAAGGGTAGCTCTGTAACATTGCAGAAGATGTAACTTTATTCCTGGTTTCAATYCCAGTGCTCAGAGCACTCAATCCCATAGAAGAGCTACACTCAGACCATCCTCAGCCTGAGCTAGTTTGCAACTGCATCCACTTTCTCTCATGAAAGGACTGGGGAATAAGGAAACTTCAAATCTTCTTCATTAGAATTGTTCTGCTGTGTATAAAATATTTCAGTAGCCATGCCTTTAGCCTATGCACGTCTTTTGACTTGCAACACCCTAAGCTTATACCCTTACACTTGTAAAGGTGGCTGTAGTGCCTGTCAAGCAATGCTCACAGCCACACAGGGAAAACCAGCTTGCTGTGTTAAACCATGTTTGCCCACAGCTCTGTTCATTCCTTCTCTTTTATGAAGGGACCGAAGAAGGAGCACCCATGCACTTGAGCTCCAACAGGCTGCAACTGAATTTAATGTTTGTATTTTGAAAATTCAGCTRAGGCTGACACTTGTGGCTGCTGTCCTAGTCAGGGTCTGTAACTCAACATTATTTGCTAACCAGAGTTTAATGGTATTTTTAATTTCCTCATCTTAGTTCACGTCCAGTCTCTGTTCTTAGCAGGAACTGGTAGTTTTCACTGCCACATCACAACTGAGACTGATGCAAGCTGTAGGACATCTCTGCTGTCACAGCACTCTCCTCATCCAGGGTAAGAAATCAAATCACCTTTGTGTCTCAGTCAAACACAGCACAGCAAAGATGCTCTCAGAGCCAGATTCCAGTTTAGGAAGGATGTTCCTGCCTTAAGAGTGCTCTGCCTCTCCACTGGGACGACTTTGAGCCTGTCTGAGTATCTGCCAATTTGCTCTATGAAGGACCATGTTCACACAGCAGTTTCCAGTGTGTGGCCAGAGTCACAACAATTCAGGCCAATTGAGAAAAAGACTCTTGATCCTTTTGGGCACTGCTGTCAGCTGAGAAGTGATGAAYTGCACATGGAATTTCTTTTCTCAGCACATCTGGAACCTGATACATCCCAGATGAGTTCAGTATCTGACCGTGGTTTAACAGTTGCAGGTCAGCAACCTTGTTAGATTAAGCCTGGATTAAAAATATTGTATAAAATGCAGACAAGCCAAACTCCTTGAATTAACCTTTCAGGTGTTCATCTCTAAGGCATGCAACATTGAGTCCCAGTTTTAGAACCAGGCAGATCCCTGCTCTGTGGTCCAACTGAGCAGGGGAATTGATGATGGCACAAGAGCTTCTGTACACCTTGAGAGAGCTCAGCTCAAACACAGGATGGTTACAGACATGATTCTGGCGAAAATTCTGTGCATTGCTTTGTACCACATGAAATATGGGGTCATTCACTAATCGGATAATTTTGTCTTGTCTAACACTCTTGAAAACCTCTGTTAATGGATTCTACAAGTTGTCTGGGTAAAGTCTTTAAATGCTGCACTGACTTAAATCAAAAATGCCTTGCGTTTTTTGGTGGCCATTACAAATTGTTACTGTTGTCACTAACGAGAAGACTTCAGCTTTGTCATTTCTGTTGTCCTGGTAGCTTTCTATTGCTCTCATTCTGTTGCCTCAATGCCCATCCTGCACTGGGGGGATCAAGACYACACATCTATTTGCAGCAGCAGACAGTAAGTTCTCTCTGTCTGCTGGCCAAACTCCTCTGAACACAGCCCACTATGTGGTTTGTCTGATTTATCATCAGCTCACAGGGCTGGCTGCCATTCCACTGCCATAAGCCCTGCACACTCTCCAGCAGGAYTGCTGCTCAAGGCAGCCAATTCCCAGCCTGTACTGAGGTATGGGGTTATTCTGCCTCGGCATGAAAATAGGCACTTCCTCTCTTGAACTGCTTGAAGTTTCCATCAACCCAATCCTCAGAATTAAGCTCTCCCATTTGAAGTATGCCAGCAACAGTGTCCTAAGTGAGCACTGCCAACAGCAGCAACAGCTTCTGCAGTAAAGAAACCCTCCAGGGAAATACAGCTGCTAAAATCCACAACTTTATTAGGTGGAGGTAAACCATTACTGCTTAACGAATGACAACTCAGACATAGCCAAACTCAAAAGCAAAGCTATTAGAGCCTCCTAAAAAGTTAACGTGAAGCAGGTCTGTTCATCCTTTCCTTCTCCACATATGGGAAAACTGGCACAAACTGAATTGGTACAAGAACACTGTATGAGCCCCATTCAAAGAGCAGAAGACGGAAAGTATCATCCCAACCAGAGCTGGTTTTGAGTGTGCTAGTCAGGAGGCAGCATTGTAACAGAAGGAAAGATTTTGGGTAGGAAGAAAGGTTGCCTTCTGAATCTATTTGCCTAAGTGTTTACATTTCATGACAGAATATATATTTGCAGATTATTTCATGTGGTTCTTGCCTCAGTGCATGATAAATTACACTTATGTGCAGGGATTGGATARGGTCAYTGTGACAGTATACTGCACCAGAGGMCTCACTGGTGGTGTCACCATGAAAAAGCTGGAAAGGTTTACCAGGTTATTATTTATTTAATGAAATTTTCTGGACAAAACCAGCTAGAATAAACATGATTGCCAGTATGAATATAGTTTTAAGGTCTGCATCTTCTACATAAGCACACAATATAAAACCTCTATAAAACACTGAAATATCAAACACTGAGAAWTTTTTAATAGAATGCATTGATTAAACTAACTAGTGCTGGACAAAGGAACTCATTACCATGGTAAGCACAGACRGGGAAAAAAAGGTTTCAAGGATGCTTGTTAATGAGGAACTGCTTCACTGACTGGGTCCACCATGAACCACAAGAAAGAGAAGAATCAGTGCTTTAAAACAACATGTTCATA